TAAACATATGAAACTTGTTTCCTTTATCAGAAAATGCCTTCGAGCAAATCACTGTTGGGCACCGGCATGTTAAAATCCCCACGTTGCTACTAAACCTTGACTCCACAATAGAGCAGCTGTGGTTTTGTTTTGTTTGTTTTTCTTCTCTGCTGTCCATCAGCAAAATGAGAACTTTCCCTCTTTGGTTACTATGCACTAAAAAAAATCCCTCTTCAGCTAGCCTGGCTGGCTTCTAGGGATCTTAAAATAAAGAGGCCTTGGGCTTGTGTTCACCACCGCCTGACTGACAGTTTTGAGGGAAGGAGGCAAGAAATGAAAACAAGGGAACTATTTGAAAAATTTAAGCTCCAAGCACAAGGTTATAAAGAAACACAACCTTGGTTCGAGTTGCCTCAGGACACTGGGCTTGATAGGGAATTTTAACTGAAAATTGGTTCCAGAAAAAATGAAGGATTTGTTACAAAGGTACCACATGTTTTGAGTGGGAAAATAAAACCTCCTTCTGCACATTTTATTGACTCCATTTTGCCTTCAAGGTGGAAGGGGTCAAACAGACAAGGACGATATGGCAGTCAATAGGGCTCATTCTTGTCCAAAAGGGCAATTTTTCCAACTAGCCTTTCTCAGGGCAAACGAATTTCTTTCTACTAAAGTCTCTTACTTGTTTTAGAGAACACTTAATACATTTGTACTACAAAATTTTCAAGAAGGCATCATGACTGGTTAGCAAAGGACAACTTCTGTTTCTCAAAAAAAAAAAAACTATACAGGATTTTATGATATCCATTCCTTCTTATATAACAATCATTTAGTATTTACTGTGGGCCAAGTGCTATGCTTGGTGTTTTGCATGCACCACGTGATTTGTTCTCCTACAAGATACATAGTATTATTTGACAGATATGATGGTTTGAATAAGAATAGTCTCCATACGCTCACATATTTGAATGCTTAGTCATTAGCAAGAGGCACTGTCTGAGAAGGATTAGGAGGTGTGGCCTTGTTGGAGGAAGTGTGTCACTGGAGGTGGGTTTTCCCCAGCCAGTGTCCCTCTCTGTGCGCTTGCAGATCAGGATGTTACTCTCAGCTATTTCTCCAGCATCATGTATGCCTGCCACTGTGCCCCTTGTCATGAAGATAACAGACTAAGCCTCTGGCTGTAAACAAAGCCCCCATTTAAATGCTTTCTTTTTGTAAGCGCTGCCTTGGTCATGGAGTCTCTTCACAGTAATAGAGCAGAACTAAGACAGCAGATAAAAACAGGATCAATAGGTTACTTATCCCAAGCTCACAGAGTTATGAGGTTACCGTGAGCTTTCCTTACCATAAATATCTAAGACAAATCAACTTACACATAAGGAAGGTTTTTTTTATGTAGCTTGGTGGTAGAGCACACACTTAGCAGGTGCCAGGCTCTGGATGGAACTCCCAGTGTCTCAAAATGAAGGGGCAAAGGTTTGTTTTGGCTTATGGTTTTGGAACTGCACATTATAGCCCAGAGCACATGGGGAAGGAGGCTCCATGCTCTCCAGGCATCTTGGGAAGCAGATGGGGAGGTGCTATGGAAAAGTCCTTTTCTACACTGTGAAGATTTGCCATTCGGATTGCTTTAATAGAAAGCTGATTGGCCGGTAGCCAGGCAGGAAGTATAGACGGGGCAACCAAACTAAGGACACTGGGAAGAGGGAGGGCGAGTCAGAGGAGTTGGTCAGACAGATGCAGAGGGTTGCAGGGTCAGACAGAAGCAATGAACGTGCCATGCTACCAAAGGTCACCCCACATGGCAGGGTATAAATAAAGAATATAGGTTAAATTAAAATGTCAGAGCTAGGGCTGGAGAGATGGCTCAGTGGTTAAGAGCATTGCCTGCTCTTCCAAAGGTCATGAGTTCAATTCCCAGCAACCACATGGTGGCTCACAACCATCTGTAATGGGGTCTGGTGCCCTCTTCTGGCCTGCAGGCATACAAACAGACAGAATATTGTATACATAATAAATAAATATTTAAAAAAAATGTCAGAGCTAGTTAATTATAAGCCTGAGCTCTTGGCTGAGCATTTACAATTAATATGTAGTCTCTGTGTTGGTTATTTGGAAACTGGTGGGCAGGAAAGAAAAGTCTGCCTACTGGGAGAAAGAGATCAGCCTCTGCAATCCTCCTTGAGGGAACACTCCTAATGACCCTAGATCTTCACCAGGCCCTACCTCTTGCGAGGTCCACCTTGTCCAACTAGTACTGTAACTAGGGCACAAAAACTTTAACTCTGGCCTTAGAGCAGTGGTTCTCATCCTGTGGGTGGTGACCCCTTGGGGAGTCAAATGACCTTTTCACAGAGGATGCATATCAGATATCCTGCATATCAGATATTCACATTATGACTCCCAACAGTAGCAAAATTATACTTATGAAGAAACAACGATATAATTTTTTTAGTTGGGGTCACCATAGCATGAGGAAATGTATTAAAGGGTTGCGGTGTTAGGGAGGTTGAGAAGCACTACCTTTAGAGGCTATTTTCAGAACCAAGCCAGCACCTTGCAGAGTTGAATGTTGAAACCACAGATTCCACGAGAAAGTCACCCTTCTTCCTACCACCACTTCCATCCTGAAGAGCTGAAAGGAATTTATTCATGTTCATAGCTGAAATTCAAGTTTAACCATTTGAATAAGCAGACAATATTTTAAGATATTGATAGTTAAATGCGAATACATTAGAAAAACATCATTGTACACCATTTCCAGAGTCACTGTGAAATATGCACAGAGACAGCAGAAATACTTTTGTCTTAGGTTGCCGTGAAGAGACACCATGACCATAACAACTCTTATAAAGGACAACATTTAATTGGGGCTGGCTTATAGTTCAGAGGTTTAGGCCATTGTTTTCATAACTACCCAAAAGTAGACTCGGTGCTGCAACTGAGAGTTCTACATCTGTATTGGCAGGCAGCAGGAAGAGAGAGACACACTGGGCCCGGCTTGAGCATCTGAAACCCCAGTGACACACTTCCTTTAACAAGACCACGCCTCCAATAATGCTACTCCCTGTGAGCCTGTGGAAGCCATTTTCATTCAAACAACCACAAGTTTCATAAATAGCTTTGCTTCACATGTCAGGTTTTGGTGTTAGGATATAGGGACAGCTGTTAAGTTTCAAACCTAAAATGGCTGAGGTGCCCATTTAATATGTCAAAGCTGACCAGGCCCCCAGGTTCTCCCAGCATCCCTCAGTCCGTACCTTTTACAGGGTATGGCTGGCATATCCCTTTGTCTACCCTGAACTCTCCAACCCAGGGGCTGGGCTACCCTTTACCCAGAGACTCTTCCCTATGTAATGTAGACATTTTGGTTACCCTTCCCTTTTGTACCTTTGGCCTCTGGCTGCTATACCTCGTCTTCCCCCTTTCTTCACATGGCCCAGCTCAGTCTGGTCCTGTCCACACTGGACTCTTAACAGATGTGTCTGCCTCTGGCTATGCTCTCCCACACGTCTGTAATAAACTTTCTCCTCCACCACACCTAGGAGCACTCACGTCCCTTTCTTTTATTTATTTGTTTGGTTGTTTTTTTTTTATTCATCAAATCATTTGACAGAAAGGCAACGGGTCAGGTCCTGAGGCCCCTTCCACAAAGGGACTCGAGGTGACCTCGGGAGGGAAAGGACGATCATTTGCAGAAAAGGGAGCGTTTCTTATAACGCAATGTGAACAGCTTTATTCAGTGAGAACAAAGCCAAAAGCTACTGGGGTAAGAACAGTAAAGCGAACAGATTGGAATCGTGAACAGAAGAACTGCCGTATTTAGAAAAGCTCACAGCAGGCGCCCATACATTTCAAACTCCTGCTGCTGTCTCGAGAGATTTCAATCACTACTTGCCGTGTTTTTGTACAGTACTTGGTGGACAGAGAATCTGGCTGCAGCGATGAGTTGATTCTGGATCGGGCCCAGCACACGGCATCTACAGTATCATAAGCCAGGTCTGCACTTCATTACGCAGACATACACCCCAGAGGGGCGTTCCTCAACCCTGCCCTCTCCCAAACAGGGCCTCTGGCAATGTAAGCGGGACTTTTTTTTTTACCCCCCAACTGAAGCAAGGTGAGGGTACTGGCATCTACTGCCACCTAGCAGGTAAAGGCATCCTACAATGCCCTCTTAACCCCCACTAAAGAACCAACTACCCTGTTAAAAGCGCAGCGTCGAGTCTGCGGACGGAAGGGATGATTGATTTGTGACAGGAGGGAGTCACTCCATTGACTAACGGGTCACCATTTTTCAAATTCTTAGGCCAATCCACTACTGGCGGCGGCGAACTGGATCACCAGAAGTCCTAGGATGCAACCCAAATAGAGATGGCTTATTTACCTTTCTGTCTAAAACAACACGTCAGTCATCCTCAAAACGAGGTTTTAGGTTCTTTCTGCTGTCATCCCTGGCAGCGACCTCCTTGGGCTTTTCTGACAATGGCAAACCGAAACCCCGAAGCCGTGTGGCGCCAGGGTTTCTGCGTGGGTTGTGGGTTTCTTCCCCCCTCAGCCACGAGTGGTGGGGAAAGCAAAACACTTGGGGAATGAGGTGTTTTCATAACGTCATTTGTTTAGTCTAGATGAGGAATGTTGCTCTTTCGAGACAGGAAAGCTGTGGATTCCAGAAGCTGGAACTCCGACCAGAGACTATCCTGCACCGGGGGGGTCCTGCATCCCGGGAATCCGCCTAGACGGTGGCGGGAACCCCGTGGGGCGACACCGACCTCGGTGGCTCCGGGCCGGTTCTGAGTGCTCAGGAAGTCCCAGACGCGGAGGGTAGGAACGACAAGCGATGGGGAGGAGAGGGGAGGAGACGCCGGTGCGCGGGAAGCCGCAGGAAGGGGCGGGATTCCGGTCTTTTGTCTCGCGGCCACGGCTCGGAACTAACCTAGCTCTGCGCGCCGGGGCGGAGGCCCCGCCGAGAAGCCGCGGGGCGTGGCCGGGAGGTGGGCGGGACGGGGCGAGACCACGCCCCTCCGGGAGGCTTTAAAGGCGGGCGCGCGGACCCCGGCTGGCTTTTGTACCCGCTCCAGGGTTTCCTCCGTCCTGTCCTCGCTAGCTCCGCCCGCCGCGTGCTCCCGCCTCCCACTCGGGTGAGTCCTAGGCAGCCAGCCCGCCGCCCTGCGAGCGGTCCCTGTCATCTCCACCCCTGCTCCTGATGGTGGCTCACACCCATCCTCCTACTTCTGTCCCAGTGCGGGGTCCTCTAGCACGCCTGCTGTGTGCTATGGCCATCCCTGCCCTGGGACCTCTTGTCCTTGGGGCAGGTAAATCATCCCCCGTGACCTTTAATTTCCGATCCTGTTCTCTGGGGTAGAGGCCAGCTGGGGAGTTTCTCGTGGCCGCCCATCCTTCATTTGGAAGCCTCAGACTCCCTCCTGGGGCGATTCTCCCATGCCTTTGGGTAGGAAGGGGTTCGAAACTCCGGGTCGCTGCTCCTGTACCCGGAGTGTGTGGATGAGCAGCCCCCCCCCCGACTTTTTCGGAAACTAGGTGGGTGCTCTGGGGTGGTAGACGCCTTCCCAGATCCCCGAACCCCAGTTCTTCCCCTGCGGCATAATGGGGCTCCTGGCCATCGTCTTTGTTCGGTGGTCTCTGCCCACCATCACGGAATCTTAAATGTAGAAGAAACTATAGTGAAATTCCAGTTGATCATTCCTAGCTTTCCCCGGTACTTTCAACCTTTCGGGGACAAACGGGAATGCAAAACTGCTTGGTTAAGAAATGCTGCAGCCGGTCCTAGAAGTCACAACCTGGGTTCAGAGCTCAGTTCTGGTGTAGGCATTCCTGGGAAGGAGGGGAATGCTCTCGAAACTTCTGCCCCCTTGGGAGCCAGGACGTTGAACTGCATTTGTTTACATGATTGCTCAAAAGTTTGACCTGTTTTGTTTGGACTGCAAACCACGTACATTTTTCTACTTTATAAATGCCTTTTAATATAGAAAGCAAAACATACGGGTTGTAGTAATTTTTTAACTTGGGCACCAAAAATAGTTTAGTTATCGACTTTCAACTTTCCTAATCTGTGCTAAGTCCCTGCTTACATAAACATCAAGAATCCAAAAAGGACAAACACAAGGTTCACGATACTTGTGCCCAGATTCTTCAAGAAAGTTAAAAGTTAGATTTCAAAAGAGTCACACAATCTCAAAACTGCATCCGAGTGATATTTGTATTCCTATTCTCTCCCATTCATTCTCTTGGAGTTGTTACTGATAATTCCATCACTTGAGATAATTCCATCTCAAGACTTTATGTCCCTTGTATTCTTTTTATAGCCAGGTAGCCACAGAAGGGTATATCCCAGGAGTCCTTGGGATATACACTTGGGGCACTGTTTGTTTAGTTACCTTGAATATGGTTGCAGCACACTAGTTAACTGAATAAAGAAGGAAGGAGAAAATGAGGTGCAGGTGTGGGGAACCAATAGGTATTCGTCAACAGATTTTGTCCAAAGTTCTTGCCATAAATTGTTAGCAGATCCCTCCCCGTGTTTTCAAAACTTTGGCTGATGGGGCGTGTGCTGAAGACCACACTCAAAGCAGTACTGATTGGAGGACTATCCTGGTGAAACCGCACCATCGCGGGCTTGAGGAAGATTGTATCCTCGTCAAAAGATAGCGTAAATGTTGATACAGAGGAGGGGCACAGCAGAAAATGAGATGCTAGGTCCAGGCATAACCCTGCCAGTAAATCGCCATGGAGAGCGCAACTCCTTAATGTTTGTTCTGTTACAAATTAGATGAATCACATGAAACAAAGAGAGGGAGCCCTCTAAGGGAGAGGAAACAGCCTGGGGAGGGTAGAAACGAAGTCAGGAATGGTTTGGTGCCCTTAACAAGTTAACTGACTGTCTGGTCTCAGTTACTTCCTCTTATGAAATGGGTGAAATAGCATACTTGCTAGGGGTGGGGTGCAGGGTGTGTGTGTGTGTGTGTGATGTGTAAATCCCAGGTGCAGCCCAGGGGTGTGTGTGTGTGCGTGTGTGCATCTGTGTGCTCCAGGTGTGTCTCTCTGTGTGTGTAAATCCAATGTGCAGCTTCAGGTATGTGTGTGTATGTCTGTGTGTAAATCCAGTGTGCATCCCCAGGTGTGTGTGTGTGTTGGATTCCTCATGCCTTTAGATCACATCCTGCACTTTTCTGAAACTTGAAATAAAATGGTTCTTGGTGGAAGTCGAGAGAGAGCTTCACCTGAACCACATCTCCCAGTCCTTCCCCCTTGCATACCTTCAGAAGTTTCCTCAAGGCTCCATCCCTGTCTGGACCGACATTTGCTTGCCACTTCTTGGGTTCTGTTGGTTGGGTCACCAGGCATTCTCTCTGTGCCTTGACTTCCTGGGGATCCTGTTTTTGTGACATGGGCCTTTTTTTTCAGTCCTGTGAAGTATCTGGACTCTTCTCCAAATGTGTGCTTTTTTGTTTTGTTTGTGGTCCCGGGGGTCGAACCCAGGACCTTGTGAATACCAAGCAAGGTCTCTGAATGGGGTTATTTTTCATTTTGAGACATGGTTTTGCAAAGTTTCCAAGGCTGGCCTTGAACTTTAGATCGTCTTCCCAGACTCTCCCAACTAGCTGGGATTGCAGGTATGTGCTACAGTGCCCGGTCCAAAACGTTTTAAATTCATAAGACACAGTGTGTATGACTCAGTTAACCAGTCCTCAGATGTAGAGGAATTGTATTTCTTACATTAAAAATCAAGATCTAGAGGAGAGTGTCTCCTTCGCATTCTGGGGAAGCGAGGCACAATTTTCTGATTGTTAAATTTTATTGCCTCTAAGCCGTAGAGGAAGAACAAACCATGGTGTGTTGTGTGCGAATTACTCGCATTTTTTGATCCTGTGCCAACAGTGCTAATTGCTTTGGATTAATAATTGAAGATCAGGCAAGATTATGATACATGCAGGTGAAGGGATGTGACAGTTAACTGTAGGGAAGGTTTCCTAGTGGCTTCACTAGGGAAAAACGAAGAGAGAATCGAATCCATGAGAGCAAATACTAACAATCTCTGCCATAGCCCTAGATGACAGTGCCACTGATTCTTTGTGGCTGGCAATGAGCTTTGTTGGTGTTCTAAGTCAAACCGGTAACTTTGCCTTTATAGTGACCTCATAGTTAATATCTGTCAGGGTTTCCATCCATAAGATGGGAATCATGGTAAAGCCTACTTCAGTCGTGAGGATTAAATTAATAAACTATTTAACATAAATGAATATAGTAAATATTACAGAAGCCTTTGTAATTACTTCTACCTGCTATGTCACCGACACTATAGTAAGGGGTTTGCATATATTGTTTAGTTTCAGAACTGCTTCATGATATAAATAAGCATGATTTTCATTTTTAAAATAAGAAAACTAGGGGCTGGAGAGATGGCTCAGTGGTTAAGAGCATTCATTGCCTGCTCTTCCACAGGTCCTGAGTTCAATTCCCAGCAACCACATGGTGGCTCACAACCATCTGTAAAGAGGTCTGGCGCCCTCTTCTGGCCTTCAGGCATACAGACAGAATATTGTATACATAATAAATAAATATTTTTAAAAAATAAAATAAGAAAACTAGCAGATAAGATAGAAGCAACCTTTAATCGTTTGCCAAATAAACAGGAATCTCGGCATCTAAATCCAGGTCTCACTCCGTGTAAAGATCATGAAGATGATGAACTGTTTGAGTCATGGAGTATCGGGTATTCCCTGACCGCGGATTGCTCTGGCATATGTTGGGTCCAGAGATTACCAAGCTTACAGCATAGCTGCATTTAACCATAGCGCGTGACTGGGCAAGCACCGCTCACATCCGTGTCGAGGATTTTGCCGTACTCCTGTTGAAGGCGTTTGTGGCAGTGTGGACATTATTTTAAAATGGAGAGGCCAGGTTTATTCAGGTGAAGGGAGGTTTCTTTCCGAGGTGAGATTAGACTTGGAAAGTCACAGTTTGAGTGTGCATTGACGTCACTGAATGGGTGAATTCTGGGCGGGCAGGAGTGGATTCCTGTGCTTATGATATGGGAACTCAAAGACGGAGAACTCCTGGTGGTTCGAATGATCTCAACCTTTAATGTTCTTGTGGGGGGAAAAAATAAACAAAAATAAAAAGTGGGGTTGTTTTAGGGATAGCTTCAAAACCTGAGTCTGCTTTGCTACTTCGGAGTTCAGTGACCTCAGCAGTCACGCACAGTTGAACTTGGTGCCATATCCAGGCCCAGTAGTGTTTCTGAAGAAAAGGAGGCCTGAGTGGAGCTGCTGATGGTTTTCCAGGCCCTTTCTACATGCTGCCCCATTAAATCCTCCTCTCTTTCCAAATTACGGTTCAGGAAGTCGCAGCTCAGAGGTTAAAGACGTTGCTAGGATCACAGCGGTGGCAACTAGCTCTCAGACCTAAGTATTTCAAATCTTAACTTCATTCATTGCGTTGTACCAGAGTGTCAATAAGAGGTCTCGAGGTCGTGTGTACTTCCGTTTCCATGACAGACATTGTTACAGTAACCTTGACTGCCCAACCTGGGCTGAACTCAATCTTCCTCAGAGAATCCACTGTCAATGGATATGTAAAATAAAACTGATTTACCAGCTCAGTGAAATTAAAACCATGCTAAAAAAATCTGTTTATACAGTTTATGTATCTGTGTGTGTGTGCTGTAAGCATGTGAGCTTGTGCCACAGACACAGATGTGCTGTGCCACCAGCCCTGTTTATATACTTTTAAAAATCATTTTATGTATATGGATATTCTGCTCGTGTGTATGTATGTATACCACAGGTGTGCCTGGTTCCCAAGGAGTCCGGAAGAAGGTGCTGGATCCCCGGAAGTGGAGTTACAAAAGGTTGTGAGCTCTCATTTAGGTGCTAGGAACTGAACCCAGGTCCTTTGGAAGAGTGCTTATAACCACCGAGTCATCTCTCCAGCCTGTGTACAAGTCTTTGACACCAAAGAACAAGTCTCTAAGAAACAGACCCTCTATGTAATGGTGTGTGTGTGGGGGGGTGTTTGCCCATGGTCAATAGTGTCTTTATTGCTGTCTACTTTATTTTTGAGACAAGGTCACCCCAGGCATGGAGCTCACCATTTTTTTTTAAGCTGGACTGACTGGCTA